GTTGAAGGAGTAGAATTTATTCAAGTGTGAAGAATAGAAATAACTCTTACAGGGCAAGAGGAGAACTATATAGAATACTTAATCACACATTCTCTCCTGTCTTTGGTTTCCTTGTGTATAAAATGGAGATAATAAAACTTATGAAGTGCTTTCCTTCATATGAATGATAAAGCATATTTAAATATTATTCTTTAACCTTTCATTTCTCAGCAAGAAAAAATTTTGATAGTGCAGTCTGGTTCAGGCAAGGACCAAATCAAACCCTTTGTACAGAACATCTTACAACATATGATTACTTCTTCAATCAGCAGGTGTTTCTGGGCATATAACAAAATGTATAATTTCAGCCTATTTTGAAGTAGATGGGAGAATATATTTGGTCACTTGCTGTTTTTGAGGTATAATTATTATATCAATGGGTTAATATAGTTTATAAGGTTTGATAAGTATGTGCCCAATAAATTATTATTTTTTAAAATGTAAGAATTTAAGCAAATACGTCAATTCCATAAAATTGTTATGAGTATTTCTCACTACTTATTGATAACACTCAAAACCATGATATCATCACTCTAAATGATCTACTTGGGGAGTTCTGTGTCTCAATGTCAGTTAACTTCTGTCAGGTCCTAGGCTAAGTCTTAGTGATATGAATTCAAAGTGCATAAGCTATTGACCTTATCCTTAAGAACTCACTTTATTTGGGGAGACATACATAGAAACACATTGTGAAAATAGAAATAGAAATATGGCAAAGATGCAGAGACAGTGGATAAAAAAAGCTAAAAATGTTTTCTGTGTGTACTATGATATGAAACACATTGGAAAATTCTGAGTTAAGGGAATGCCATTGATAAAGTATACCTTGATTTTAATAAGGTAGAAAGGTCAAATAAGAAGAACCATAAACTGAGTAATAATACAGCAAGTAAAATCATAACAGCTTGATTAGTCAGACTCCTAAGTGTCAATTAAATGGTCAATTTAGAAGGCAGTCTGCAATGCCTTGCCACAGAGCTTTCTTTGCTATTGGCCCTAGTCTCTTCAACATATTTATTAGTAACATGGATGAAAGCATTAGGCATGCTTTATAACTTAAAGCTAAATAAAAGAGAGATAGCTAATACACTGGATGAACTGTTTCAAAATTTCATAAAAGCAAAGCAAATGGTAAGAAATTTATTGCAGTCAGTGCAAAGCCAGCTTTTAAGTTTAAAGACAATTATAATTATTAACTGCATACAAACATATAGAATAAAAAGTATAGTTAAGAAAACATTTCTGTTATATTTCAGAGAACAAGTATGATTATCTACCAACTACTGTGAATGTATGCTCAGAACTGGTGAAGCTAGTTTTCTGTGTGCTTGTGTCCTTCTGTGTTATAAAGAAAGGTGAGTCTTGAAATGGTACTATGTAATCGCAGAATCAAAAAACATTAGAACTGGAAATGACAGTTTATATCATTCTGGTCCTTTTTATATCTGAGGAAGCTAAGACACTAACATAATTGTGTTTTATTATAGGTAGAGAAGTATGCTCAAAGTATTCTGTAGAGCTGTACTAGAAAGGACAGAGCTAGTACATGAACCCACACATCCTGTCCACTGCTTTCCCTCATACTTGTTCTTGTTATGGTTTCACAAGCCCATTGGTTTTTTATCTAAATTCAGGATTTTCTAAATCACTGCTAATGTGAGGTGCTATGCATCATATTGCAAAACAGTTCCCATTTTGTACAGGGAAGTCACCATAGTAACTCTGGAGTCAAAGAGGTACTATGTTTTGAGGTAGAACTATTAAATAGGAATAGTAATCCTTTCCTCAAATGTAAAAGTATTACCCTTTATGGAATGTACAGGTCTTTGTCGTAATTCTTCACCTCATTTCTCCAGTTATGAACCCTTAACCCTCTGCTTCTTTGATCTGCCTTCTCAGATGAGGTAAACGTAAAATGTAAAGCATTAAAGTGATTGCCTGGGAACATGACTTTAAACATTCAAGGGTTTCAATCTGTGTAGAGTTTCTAGTTAGTGGAATACTAGTTAGTTTTAATTTCATGAAACGCAAGCATTACTTGCAGAGTTTAAACTGTTTGCTTCTCTTTTCATTTTACATTCTCCTGTTGCAGTGTTTGGCAGTCTGGAACTGGATAAAAACTCACACTAGAATTAGTAAAAGTTAATTTTAATTGCTTTAGTTCGATATGTATAAATTTCTACATATTAATTCTGTTTCCTGGTCTTCTGCAGGGTAGGAAGGAATCCCAACATGAAACTTGTTTCCCCAACACACTTATTCTAACATTGATTTTTCTCTTACTCTTATGCTCTCAGAGATATAAGAGAAACCACATGTGTATCTTGAGTCAACTTAAACAATACTTCTGCTTTAAGTTAACAGTAATTAGGATAATCAGTATTATCCTAATAAGGATGTTGCTGATTGTCAGTGATAGGACACAAAAGTGGGTTAGAGAGAGACTAGTAAAATTTCATATTATCTTTTTTTTATAGGCTAATGACCACTTAGGAAGCAAGCTTATAAAACTCCTTTTGACGAATTCTATCAGTGATAAGATATAATGTACTTTCTCTAAAAATATAGGCTTTCTCATCAAGATTATTTATTTATTGCCCCATTTTTTTTCTGTAGAACCTCATCGAAATAGAAATTTGAGATGTGCTTCCTGGAAGGAATTCTGTAATTTCATGAAGTGGTCCATTCCTGCCTTTCTCTATTTCCTGGACAACTTGATTGTCTTCTATGTCCTATCCTATCTTCAGCCTGTAAGTAAATATGACAGAATGCCATTGAAACGATAACAGAGAAATGAGTCCCAGAAAGTATCTTCCTTTTTTTTTTCCATCATTTTCCTCGACTGTCTTAAGTTTCTTGTGGCTCTGACTGACCTTGCTGAAATTTTCCCAGATTCATTAGAAAGTGAAATTATGGATCTGCTTGCCAGGTTCTGTCACTGTTAGAGATTACTATATTAAAGTGTACTGACTGCTATGGTGGAGTTGCTCCTTGTTCCAAGAGATCTGAAGCCATGCCTCTTTGTGTAACCTTAGTCAGTCTGCCTATATTCTGAGCCATACTGTAATCAACCTCTAATCTCAATCTCAACATCCAAGCAGACTTCCATTATTAACTCAGAAAATATCTCTCTTACACCTGTTCTAATGTAGTTTAAATGCTTTCTATTTGTGTAGATTTTCTTTTTTATTAATTTTATCATTTAACCAGCAAATTCTTTGAGAGTAAGGATTGTATCCTCCCAACTGAAAAAGCCTTTGTGTCACTTTGGAAAGCCATCAGTAATCAACATTGAAGTTTGGTCTTCTGCTTTTACCCTTTACTCAGTTTGATACTCAAATATGTATTCCTATTAACATCTTATAAAATGAGTATCTCTATTGCCTTTATTGCCAGAATGTGTTTTAAGTTTCTTTAAAAGGTTAAAGTGGGCATTTTGGTTGTAAGTAGGATTTTTATTGTCACTGATCTCTGTGAAACCTGTTACATGTAACCAGGTGAATTTTAGAACAGGATGAAAAGGCGCAATAGCACTATAGTAGGAAACAGGAGATTTTAACATTTTTTTCACAACTTAAAAGCTATGTAACAAGTTAGGCCCTAACTGCTCTAAGTTTCGGTTACTCTATTTATTAAGTAGAAATAAACTAATCTAAGTCAAAAGCAGGAATCTGGACTAGTTGATCACTTTTAGCTCCTTGACCCATGTTGGTAGTTAGTGCTCAGTCCATCTAAAACGTCTTATAAATTCTTGTTTCCACTTCTTTTTTTAGATTTGAGAATTCCTGTGCCTAACAATATAATTATTCACATTCAGTAAATAAATATTTGTTGGTTTTTTTTTGTATCCAACAGAGAAACTCTAAATTTATACTCCTTTCCTTCCCCTTTCCTTCTCTCTCTTTCTCTCTCTCCTTTTTTTTTTTTTTTGGATACCAGGATACTTAACCACTGAGTGATATCCCTAGCCCTTTTTATTTTTTATTTTGAGACAGGGTCATCCTAAGTTGTTTAGATTCTCAGTAAGTTGTTGAGGCTGAATTTGAACTTGGGATCCTCCCCTGTCTCAGCCTCTCAAGCCACTGGGATCACTGGTGTGCTCCACCATGCCTGCTGCATGTTTCTTCTTTTTCTTCTGTATTTATTGTTTTGCTTTTCCTTCCCAATAATGTACAAACACAGATATTATAAAACAAACCACATGGCATACTCTTGTATTTCTATTTGAGCCAATTGAAAGAATTAAAGGGAGATACATGGAAATTTAGGGGCAAATAGCTCTTATGTTTGATTTATTCTATAGTACTATATGGTAACAGTGTTTAGAATTCCTCAGACCAACCAGGCTGCTTAGTTAGGTGTGTTTGCATTGCCCTTGGTATATTTATCTAGGACCACCACTTCTTTACTCTTACCAAACATTTTCCTCATCTTAGTTTTCTCTTTTAACTGGGGGTTCACAAGAATTTGTCTTACAGAGACATACTCTGGAAAAACCCAATTCAAAGTTTTCCAATAAAAGAAAAGATAAATGGTTAAGAAGGTAGAAATGCTAATCACCTTGATTTGATCATTACATTATATTACACGTATTATGTTACATTATGTATGTATCAAATTATCACCCTTTATGTACCCCATAAATATTTACAATTATTGCACATCAATGAAAATTTTTAAAAATTCAGTAGAAAAGCAACAATGGTATATTCTTTGAATTATTGTTAGTTTTTTTGAATTATTCTTTTTCAGTTTTAATGTAGCTGCTTATTAGCCATGTTTGCTATCATTAGTAGTTACATAAGACTGCTTGTACTCTTTGGAGTTTATTTTTAGTTTTTATTATACTGTTGGTACTAGGGATTGGAATCAGGAGTGCTCTACCACTGAACTACTTCTCAAACCCTTTTTTTTGAGACAAGGTTTTGCCAAGTTGCCCGTGCTGGCCTTGAACTTGCAAACCACCTGCCTTTGCCTTTAGATTCACTGGGATTACAAAGATGTGCCACTACACCTGGCTCTCTGTGGAGTTTAATCAACTTAAATTGATAGCAAGGAAGAAAGCAGGGTGAACCAAATCATAGGATTTATTTTTAAAATTATTGATATTGTCAGGTCCAGTTGTATAGAGCAGTGATAGATTTTCATGCTTTCTGAGCAAACTATATACACATACAGATTAATACTGTTCCTATGAAGTGTGACAGAATTCTCAAAAACAGACCACTATAAAATCTGGCTAACATGTTTCTAAGTGTTTAGAATAACTTGAATCAATCCAAAGGGTGGAGTTTGATTTTGAGTCATGTTAGTTCAAGCTGGAAAATTGATTCAATTTCTAGAACAGTAAAGATGCTTAAAAATCTGTCTAAATTTTATTACCATATAAATGGGCCTAACGGTACTTCCTTTCTACTCACCTATAGAAGCAGTATTAAAAATCTATAAAGTGTATTGAAAGCAATGGAAAGTATATTTCATAGGCATGGTAGCTGTTAATTTCTAGACCTAAACCTTTACAAGTCATAAGTATTTCCAGATCTACACATAAAGATTATTTACACAGGCATTGCCTGAACTCAAACACACAGTTTCAAAGCCTGAACAATAATTTGATCATATCTCCATAAATTTAACAAGCAATAAAAATGGAATTTAATCCTCTAGTGAAATAGCTGCCCTAATAGCCCCTCTGGTTTTTTACTAAAAAGCTTTTTTTGTCAGGTGAATTACTAAACTGGGAGATTTCTTAGGTCAGTACTCTGTTTGAATTGTAATTCTATCTTCTCTTTCTTTCTAGGCCATGGCTGTTATCTTCTCAAATTTTAGCATTATAACAACAGCTCTTCTATTCAGGATAGTGCTGAAGTAAGTAGCTTGCTGTGAAAGCATATATCATACTTTAAAATGGCACAGCCTGGTTTCAGATGATATACCCGGGGCCCTGAGCCCTCCGAATCCCAAGACCAAGATTTTGTTCCTAATTGGCTTTGTGTATTGGGCACATTGTTTAACCCATGTTGAAAGCAACTCCAGTCTAAAACTTCTGTGATCAGATATATGTAAAATGTCTTGAGCATCTCAAAAATAAGATAATTAATTGGGCTATAATTATTACTTTAATTATTAGTGCCAGATTTTCAAGAAAGAATTCATAAGCTTTTTAAATACAGTCAATTGGACACTTAATTAGGGAATCAAGAGGTTCCTAAGATATTTAATACATTAGTTCTTTGGAGATGATAGAGTGGCAAATTCTTTTTTTAACCCTTTGAGATAAATTCATGATTTGATCCCTAACTGGAAGACAATTTGTTTGAAGAATCTAGTCAAAATGAATAAGAATGATGGGCTTTTAGACTTAAAAATGTTTTCAACCATCTTACAATATCCAGGAGGACCACTGAGTAGTATAAACATTTTTCAGTAAATAGGCTCTGCTACAAAGCAAAAAGGAAAATATTGTAGTCTGAAGTAGGCTGATACAAAGATAGTAGGTACTTAATCTCAAATGAATTTGTTAATAATGACGATAAAAGAATAAAATTAACTTTTTATTATATTTGTCATGACGATTTTTAAATTTTACATTCTTTTTATCTTCTTAATTTCTTATATTTATATGTTATGTGATAGGTGTTCCTTAATAATTTATGTGTACTAAAGGATGGATAGCTTATATAGAGGCAACCTAAATGTTTGTTGAATCCATGATACATTTATTATATAAATTATGTGAGTTTCTAGAAACATTTACTCTGAGGAAACATTCAACTTGATAGTTAATGTGAGATATTTTTAAGAATTAACAGTACACTTAGTATAGTTTAAATGTTAGAATACATTGAAATTTGCTTTGTGCATCATGTTCTTCACTTTAGTTGTGAATTGCAAAAACAATTCTATAACTAGCAAGTTAAAAGAATGCGATTCCAAAAAATGTTTTGAAGCCTTTGAAATCAACATGATAATCACTTTGTAAAAAATTGCATTCTAGGAGAATTTGTGTAAGTGATAATATTTTTGTATTTAGTTCCTGTGATAAAATGGAGATGCACTTCCATGAACCAAAAAAAAAAAAAAAAAACTGGTTCCAACATTTAATAAAATGTTCACAGTTTAATAAGGGAGTAGAGGCCTCAAATTTTTTCCAGAGAAATGCCAGTTCATTAGGACACATAGTATAAAACTTAAGTTATTAGATAATATACAAGTTTTTTATTGAGATTACATTAAAACTTCATTTGCCAAATCATACATGATTTGAAATTCATTCGTTAGTTGTTCTAACTTTACCCTCTAGTAAATCTAGTTAAATTTTTAAGCATTTAACTGTTTGTATTAAGAAAGTTAATTCTTCATATAAGCAAATTCAAATCTACTTGTACTGTAAATTTTAATTGTTTTAACATTAATTATAATAATAATTATATTTTGCAAATTTTAATAATCACATTTATGAACTAAAGCTAAAAATATTTTCCATACACTTTACCTCTTATTTTCAGAACAATAATATTGGTTCTTAGACATGTTAATAAATATCTCTCTGTTTTGAGCCCTTGGAAGTGTTTATGGTAAAGAATAATAAAACCACTCCAGTTTTATTTCTTCCAGGAAAGCAAAATTAGCAACCTGAGTGGGTCTTAATTGTATTAATTCAAAAATTAGCACTGATGCATCTCTAAATAATAAAGCCACAATAGTGTGCTAATTAATAGTGTTTTTATGAGCATGACTTTTAAGTATTCTTTTATTTAGTATTAGCTTTTATTACATTTTTAACTTTTATTAATTGTTAAAACACACAGCATATTTGCCATCTTAACCATTTTTTTATTATATGATTCTGCATATTAGGCATATTCATTTTATTGTGCAACCAATCATACTTTCCAACTTACAGATTTGAAACTCTGAACACATTAAACAACTCTCTTTTTTTTCCTCCCACGCTTGGTAACCACCATTCATTCTACTTTTTGTTTCTGTGAATTTGACCGCTTTAGAAACCTCATGTCAATGGAATCATACATTCTCTTTTTGTGACTGGCTTCTTGCACTTATTTATGTTTCCAAAGTTCGTCTGTGTTGTAGCATGCAACAGGATTTCCATCTTTTTAGAGGCTGAATAATTTTCCTCTCTTCCTTAACTGTGTTCTCTTTTAATCATTTTGTCATTGGTGGTATATGTTGTTTGTTTTTCCACTCTTTGTGGGTCATATGATCATTCCTTTGCCCTTTGCCATGAAATTTTGGCTTTGGAGTAGCAACTTAAGGGTTCTATCACATGTTCTTGGTTTGTTTGCCATAACTCATTTTTCATTTAGAATACTTAGTTGTTTTATACTTGACTCTAACAGAGCCATCAAACATCTTTTCTATACAGGTATAATAAGGCTGCAAAAGTAGAAAAAATTAGGTGGTGATTAATGCAAGAATTAGTTGGAGGAATTTGAAAGTGGGGGAAAAATACCATTTAAATGTCCTATTGGCTTTTCTCAAGAAACTCTATGTGAATATAGATTTGTTCTTTGAAATGTAGCCACTAATTCAAAGTGGAAACTGGTGGCAAACATTCTGCCTTCAAGTCTGCCTCATTGGTTTGCTCTTGCACCTTAGCAGAGTTGTTTAATCTTGTTTGCTTTGGCTTTTGGAAAATAATAGCATCAACCTGGAAATTTATATTTTACAGCAAAATAACCATGATTAGCAGTTATTTTTACCTACTTATATGTATAAGGTTCTCTGATTTTACCAAGCAAAGCTGTGGGAAAAGATCATTAACAAACACATTTTGATACACAACCTGTCCCAACCAGCAGAAGAATTAAGAAATTCTTAATTTACAATCCTTACTCAGGATTGTAAGCATTTTCTTCAAAATTATTTATTTACTTTACAAAGCTTTATGATTTCTCTTAAATCTACTCCAGTCGGTCTCTTTGCTACTAGGAAATGTATTTTGTACAGTGCTTTGAGAAAATAAATTGTTTCATAACCTACTAAATTGTTTTGATGCTCTGCCTTGATTTACTATCTAGCATATTTACTATTCTACCATCTTTGTGCCATATTTCCCAATATGGTAGAAAGATGGTAGAATTATTTTTATCTGACATAATTTGAATGTGATTGTTCAGTCACTAGGTAAACTCATAATGGAGAATCTCAATATATAGTCATCCATAGATATCCATAGCAGATTGGTTCCAGGACCCCTGCAGATACCAAATTTATGGATGCTCAGGTCTCAGTATTTACATGTTACCATATACTCTGTCATTTCTAGATTACTTAAAATACTTAATACAATGTAAATGTTTTGTAAATTGTTATCATACTGTATTGTTTAGGAAATCATAAAATTTGCACATGATCAGATAAAATTCTTTTAAAATATTTTTGATTTGCAGTTAGTTGAATCTATTGATGCAGCACTTATGCATACAGAGGGCTAACTGCAAAAACAGTAATCCACCCCCCCCCATCTGTGGGAGATAGACATTCTAATACTCCCAGTGGATGCCTGAAACTAGATAGTGCTGAACCCTGTTACAGTAGTTTTTTCTCTATATACATATACAAATGTAATGCCCTTTTCATCTTAACTAAATATTTGCCATATACTGTGAGTACAATTTTTGCAGTTTGAAGTTTGGCAGCAAAACATGTATTTTGTTTTCCTCCCCCCCCCCCCACCCCTCCGTTGAGAACTTTAACCTTTTCACCTAAAGGAAGTGCTTTAAAGCATTTCTTTGGCATTTCTGAATTGTTGGCATCATTACTCTTGCTCCTTAAAGCTATTACTAAGTAAAATGAGCATTACTTGAGCACAAGCACTGTGATACCTCAAGTGTCAATATGATAACTGACTGATGGGTAGGTAGCACATACAACACAGATACACAGGGAAAGGGGATGATTCATATTAAGGTGGGACAGACTTGCTATAATGAGATTTTATCCTGCCTAAAACATCAGAGAATTTGAAACATATAAATGGTTTTGTCTGGAGTTTTTCATTTATTAGTTTTGGGTTTGCATGAGAAACAAAACTGCAAATGGGGATAGTGTATGTGTGTAAATCTAAATTTATTTTAACTTTTGTTTATCTGTTCATCCTTTTGATGAACATCTTTCTGTTGTTGAGCTAGGGTTTTTCCCTTGAGTATATGTAGGGTTTGCTAATTGGAGTTCTTTGGTTTCTTTCTTGTATGAAGCTATAGTCACTTATGATCCATGACTTCTGGTTTCAGTTACCTTAAAGCACATCAAGTATTTGAAAATACTTCTAAGGAAGATAACTCATCAAGATTTTTATTATTTTTCCCTAACCTTTACAATTAGCTTACCTATATATAATTTACAACCAGCTTTTTATCTTCTGAATTATCTCCCTTTACCTAGTATTTCTAAAAGTTTCAACTCAGTTTTAAATAAAACAGTATCCCTTTTCATAGTTTATCATTTATGTAGTTGTTAAAATATGTTATGACAATAAGGAGGTCACCAGGTAAAAACACATTTGGGAACAGAGATTTGGGAGCAGAGACCATCAGGAAAAGTGGTCTTTTAGCCACTCGGTTCACTTAGCAGTCAGCTCCTAGTAGTAATTGACTCTGTTTTACTTGAACAGAGGAAGAATTAGATAAGTGAACTATTTTATTACATTAATTAAACTGAAGAATAAACTTTTCCATGCAGAATTGGTCATCATTTATAAATACACAAGTCCTTAGCTAATTTTGCAGGATAATTTATGAAGCTTTATATTTTTTTGGAAAGCATACAATTTCTTAATAATTTTTAATAATTTTTACCTTCTGGAATATTACCTCAGGTGAGTAATTATTTAGAGTAGGTATTATTTAGTTTAATAGTTTGTTTCCTTAGATTCTTTATTTGCAATGTCAATATTAAGGGAGAGTCTATTTTCCAAGAATTCAAAATTTCTAAAGATACTGTTTTTGCCTCAATTCTTATATATAATATTTGTTTATATAATTATTTTAATAAATCAGACATCCATTTTTCATCTCTGTAATTTTCTCTTACCATTTCTGTTTGCTTTCCACTACTTAGTATGTACCAACTGCACCTTCAGAACTTTAGGAAACTAGTTCACAATTTTTGACCTCATGACATAGAGCTATAGCTAACCCCATCACTGAGCTCTAGCTCTAGTTAATTAGAAAATTATGTAAATGAGAAGACATGAAAGTGTGCAGACAGGTGTGTTGCTGTCTAGACTGGTATGGATTTCACAGTGTCAGAGCATGAAGCTATATAGAAGTATTAGTGGAATCAGACGTATGTGTTTACCCTTCATATATATATCATGGGAGCTCAGAATTATTTCTGAAGTTTTTTTGTTGTCATTTTGTTTTGGTTTTAGTTTTTTTAGCAGTATGGGGATTGAAATCAGGACCTTGAGCATGATATGTAAGCACACTACCACTGAGCTACATCCCCATCCCTCAGAATTATTCTTAAAAAGTTGTGATGATCTAGAACATACAAAACTATGACTCAGATCCCTTTCTTACTCCTTCATAATATAGACCTTAGGGAAATCAGTTAACCTTTCAAGACAGCTTTCCTCCCTCAGAGCCTGACCCCCAAAAGTAGGTGCTCAATAAGTTCTCCAATAAAATTCTTAGGACTTCTGGTTCTCATATATAACTTTATTCTTCTGCCTTTACTTATGTCATATTCTTTTCTTGGCTTCTCATTTCTTTAACCTAATTGATCTTCTAGCATCAAGATTTTGTTCTCTGCAGAGTACCACAACCTGAGATATTCCTTTGTTCTTCGTTAACATTGTAAATGATTGTTGCCTTTGTATAGATACGTCACTCTGTCTGGAGATGACCAGTGTCCATTTAGATGTTTTTCATCTCAAGTGTCATTTCCTCATTGAAGCCATACCTGACTTTGTTTACAGATTCAAGTGCTCCTTCCTTACTTCAGTGGTTCCATGTATCATTTGTCACACATTCTACTGCCATTATTTGGTTTATAACTCTCCTTATTAAAGCATAAATTCATTAAGGAGAAAGATCCAGTCTTTATCTCCCCAGTTTGCCTGGCATGTAGTAGCTGCTTATTAAATATCTGTTGAACTGAATGATTAAGCAAAATTAAATAATAATTCATATCTCCTGTATCT